CGGCCGGCTCTGGGGAGAGGCAGAGGAGGCGCACCCCCTAAGGCCTCAGAGAAAGCAGGGCGCCCCCTCCCACTCACGCCCTCTGCGTGCCCTGAGAGGCTCTGGGGCTCACTTCTCTGAGTGAGCTCCCGGGAGACCCCACGCGGCCGTGGCCACAGCTCATGTACAGAGGCGCTTGGGGGATGTGTCCGGCTCTGAGGAAAGGGAGTGTTGGGTTCCCTGTGTCTGGCCTGCTGAGGAGCACCCTGCATCCAGCCCCTCACTCATACTCTCGCAGGTCAGCCTGAGACCCTGGGCTTGACCCCCACTCCCGCCCCCCAACCTGGCTCAGGCGGGGAGGACTGAGGTTGGCGCGGGCCTTGGTTCAGCAGTGTGAGTGTCACACAGGGGAGCTTGTGTGACAAGTGTGGAGGGATGATGGCCCATTTGGGAGGGGGCCCAGGTGGCCCCCGGGCTCCTGCCTGGAGCTGCTGCTTCTTGGCCTAGAGGGGCTGCTCTCAGGAGGGACTCCAGGCGGTGGGGACAGGCCGAGCACCCCACTTTGGAAGGCAATGTACTGCTCCCCGTCAGGCAAGCGCCAGCCCCCACTCCCCATCCCTAACGGCCTCCAAAGCTGCAGGAAAAGCCTGCTCTGGTCTGTGTTTATTTTTGGAGTTTTAACTGGTTGGACAAGGAAGTGAGCCTTGTTAAAAGGGATTTATCTGTGGGTCACAGTGAGTTTGAGGGGCTTAGGAGGAAAGAAAGGGAAGGGCTTTCCCCCTTCATCTTCCCCAGAGCGGGGCCCCTTGCTCACAAAGACTCAGGCCCCAGGGCCGGGGGCCTCAATGCCAGCCCAGCTGGAGGGAGTGCCTTAATAGGGAAGGGCTTAAGTCATTTATGGGAACCAGAAAGGGGTTTCTTAGTATCAAAAAGAAAGGCCTTCCCGAGCCCGGCAATGGCACGGGCTGGGCAGAGCCATTTCCTGGGCGGCCTTCCTCAGCTGCTCCAGGGGCGTGTGGTCCTTCTGCCCTCTGGCGCCTGAGGCAGTGCGGATTTCAGGGCTGGGGGCGCACCCAGGACCCGCTCCCCTTCACTCAGCTACCATGGGGATACCAGTCGTCGTGGGCTTGATCGGCAGCTCTCCATGGAGAAGGGGTCAGAGTCGGGCCACCCCTCTGGGTCTGTGCTCTGAGGACGGGCGGGTGTTCCGTGGCTGGGGGCCTGCTGTTCGGGGCACTCTGTCCTCTTTCCCTGAGGCCAAAGTTGGGCCCCTCTGTCCACCTGCCACACGGGACCCCAGAAGGCTAAGACCCCTTGCTGAGGGAGGAGAGGCCGGAGGGGGGGGCCGCCTCCTTGCCAGTGAGTGCGTTGCACCTACTTTGTCACGCCCAGTGGCTCCTCCAAACCCCCCATGCAGCCGGAGTCCCAGGATACCCTCTCACCAGGGCAGAAGGCGTTCATGGAGCTGCCCTGGCCTCTCGGAGAGTTTTATTACTATGGGAAACAGCCAAAGTAGTGAGGAGCGGTGGTGATAGTGGTGGGGGGAGGGGGGGAGGTCCCTCATCTCCTGCAAGCAGATAAAATAGAAACAACTAAATAAAACACCCTTGCTGCTCAAGGGAAAAATTCTGCTTGTCAATTATGATTTATGAGCGATTGCCAAACAGGGAGCTGGCCTGCCTGTCTTGAGGCCTGTTTCTGCCTCCCCCACCCCACTTGGTGGGCGAGGCTGGGGGGTGGCTTGGCGCTTCTGGGAGAAGGTGGGTCCTGCGACAGCACTGGCTGTTAACCCCTTGGTGCTCGCATGTCCAGTGCCCAGCTGCTAGAGGGAAGGGAGGGGACCCGTGCCCCCACTTTGGCACCGAGGTGGGGAGGGCATATGGACGGCGGCCACTGGCAAGGTGCCCACGCCAGGCTCTGGCTTCGGTCCCAGCGTGAGCTCCGGCCGGCGGCGGGTAAGCTCTCTAGCCCTCTCTGCCCTATATAGTCCCTGGCAGAGCTGCCCGCGGTCCTCCCAGGCGCCCCGTGGAGGGGCACCAGTTTGTCCTCGCCTGCGACTGCTCAGGCCAGATGGTGGGTATTTCCAGGCCACAAAGTCCTCTGACCTTTGAACAGTTGCCGCCGAATTTCAATAATGAAAGGACCTCTTTTGAATACGTACAAATGAGACGTTATATTTCCATACATTTTATTTCCAGCCTCATCTGCGAATCTAATATTGACCCGGAGTTATCTGTGATGGGGAAGTTATTAATTCTGACAGATATAAGGGAGAAGCTAATATTCGCCTTTTACAAACACCTAATATTAATCTCGGGCGCTGTAAACGAGAGCCGCACGCCGGCATGGGGGAGATGACACCAGCTCGGAATTTGATAATGAAAAATGGGCAAGTTTAATTTCAGGGAATGGATAAAAACGTTTGCCCGCTGCGAGGTAAGCGGCATGGGAGGCCCCAGCGGGATTCCCAGTGGACAGAGCAGAGGCCTGGGAAGTGACCCGCCTGTCCACAGGCCCGGGAGCCTGGGATCCAGAGCATTGCCGGCCGGGGGTGGGCCCTGGCCTCCCAGGTGTCGGAGAGAGGCCAGTCTGGAGCTGCAGCCTCGATCGCCCCTGCCCTGAAGGGGCAGCATCTGGACAAGCCTCCGCTGCCTCACCCTCTGAAGGTCCCAACGTCCCTGTGGCTGTTGCCTGGCCAGGGGTTCGTTCTTACACCCCTGGCAGACTCGAGAGGTGGGGATTGGAACAGAGGAGAAGCCAGAGGGCTCTCTAACCTGGGGAGCTCCGGCTCCCAGCCCCGTACCCCCCCACCTCTAATGCACCCTTTGCCCTCAGGGGCCTGCCTGCTCTGCTGTGCCCTCACTGCACCCCCAGCGTCCCCTCCGTTTGGGACCGGGCTCAGCTCACATCTTTCCTGTGCTTTCTGTGGCCCTGCCTGCTCTGTACCCTCAAGCCTGCTCCTCAACCTCCTCCTGCAGATCTCAGCCTGGAGCCTGCCCTGGGGGCGGCACGCCTGACACCTCGCACAGTCAGGCCCTCTTTGGTAGGCTCCTGTACTGTTAAGGGGGGCTTCCCTGGTAGCCCAGCTGGTGAAGAATCCGCCTGCAATGCTGGAGAGCCTGGTTTGATTCCTGGGTTGGGAAGATCCTCTGGAGAAGGGATAGGCTACCCACTCCAGTATTCTTGGGCTTCCCTGGTGTCTCAGCTGGTAAAGAATCCGCCTGCTGTGTAGGAGACCTGGATTCGATCCCTGGGTTGGAAAGATCCCCTGGTGAAGGGAACGGTTACCACTCCAGTATTCTGGCCTGGAGAATCCCATGGACTGTACAGACCATGGGGTCACAAAGAGTCGGACACAACTGAGTGACTTTGACTTTCATGCTGTTAAGAGTTGAATTTCCCTCTTTCCGATCCCTATGTCGGAGTCCTAACCCCTACTACCCCAGAATATGACCTCATTTGGAAATAAGGTCATTGCAGAGTATTTAGTTACTATAAGGTCACACTGGAGCAGGTGAACCACTGACCCAGATGACTGGTGTCCTTATATAAAGGACTTGGGGAGAACGCCAATGACATGAGGACAGACATTGAGCTGGGGTCTCCATGAGCTAAAGGACACCAGAGATAACCAGCAAACCTCCAGGAGCTAGGGGAGAGGCTGGGACAGAGCCTCTCCAGGGCCCTCAGGAGGAACCAGCCCACTGTCACCTTGACCCTGGGAATCGTGGTGCTCAGAGCTGGGGAGAACATGTGTGTGAGCTTTCTTATGGCAGATGCCAAACTAAACACACATATGTCTCCTTTGTGGCTTTGTCACCACACACCATTTTACAGAGAGGTGTGACTCTCCCGTGAGCTCCACGGTGGGGAGAGATGATTCTGTCCCCCGCTGAGCACCCTGATGGATTCTCTGCGCTGGGCATGTCACCCAGCACGTTGTAGGTGCCTGAAGAGTAGCTGTTGGATAGATGACCACGTTGCTTGTCGTCTCTGCCGGAAATATAGCCATCAGAGTTCACTGGATTACTCCTATTTGCCCCAGATAGTGCCAGAGTTGGGTGGGTACATAGGATATACCGTAACAACTACCCCAAGCTGACCTGATGGCATGTTCTTTTAATTTTCGCAGGCCTTGTGGGTGCTGGGAGCCTGGTGAGGTGGGGGCTGTGTCAGGGGTCAGGGTGGAGCCTGAGTGCAGTCCTCAGCTTGGGCAGAGGGGGAGGCCGTGGGAGGCCCGGGGACAGCTGGAAGGTTCAGGTCCCTGCTGGGATGTGCAGGCCGTAGCAGTGGGCTCCTCCTCCATCCATCCGCTGTGGGCCTTTGGGACAGCAACTGGCACCCTGGTCACTGCGAAGGGCCAGCCACCCCTTCACACACACTGGCTGTCGCGTGAGCAGCTGTCCTCAGTTACGCTGCGGCGGGTCACGGAGGGCTCTTCCTTTGTTCCCGAAGCATCGCCGTCATCTCTGTCATCTGTTGCAGCTGATCCTGGGTTCTGGTACCTTATCCACTATTCAGGATGGAGCTTAAGTCTTGGGGCAGACGTGGGCCTTCAGATCTCCAGCTGCGGATCTGGGAAGGACCTCAGCTATCACTGAGCCTCCCCTCTGCAAGATCGGCAAGTGAGGAAACAGAGAGGCAGAGCAACCTATCCAGAGCCACAAGCCGGGCAGGGTCAGAACAGGAGGAGGGCCCAACCCTTACTCCAGGGTTTAGACACTCGCGCTTCAGGAAGAAGGGGCTGGGAAAGCGCAGTATCAGGAGAAGAGCAGAAAAATTCAAGAGTTTTTTCTCTCTTTTTGTCTTTCATCCCCCTCTGTGAAATCCTGAGTCTTAAGTGCTTTCTTTTCAGAAGCATCTGAGAGAGCCCAGGGGGCTGCTCCTCCCTCCTGGCGCCTCCCTCACTCCCCCTCTGCCCTACACTGTCCCCCTCCGGCCACACCTGCTCGCCCTGCGCCCCACTCATGCAGACGGGTGAGCGCACACGGCAGTGTACCCACAAAGCATGTGCCACACACAGGACGCACGTGCGCACACTCTCGCGACAGCCCTGTGTTCTGAGCAGACCCCGAGGACAAAGGGCCGGGGTCTCTGGCAAGCCCTGGCTGAGTGGCTCCGACAGCACAGGGCGACGGGATCCTGACTGCTCCTCGTGGTTGCGGTTCACAAAGGGCCGTCTGAGAATCCGTGGGCAAGCCGGGTGGTCTCGGTGAGTGTGAGGGTGTGACCGTGCACTTGTGAGTGCATGTGTGGATGTGCCTGCGCACAGCAGGGGGCACGGACGTCCAAGCAGCCGTGGTCTCCTGGATCGTCTGGTCTGTCCCGGCCGTGTCCATGCCTGGCCTCCGTGTGCGCCAGCCGTCCCTTCCCGTCTTCCGTGCGGTTGGTGGTAAAGGTGAGTTGGGGGAGGACGGATGTCCTTTGGTGACTTCTCCACACTTAGAGCCGTGTCGCCGCCATTCCCCGGTGTTGGCATTCCCGGCAAGGCTGGACTCCTGGTCAGAGGTCCCCACAGGTCTCACCCAAGACAGCCTGGCCCATCTCGGGCTGGGTCCACCCAAGCCAGCCAGTTTGCCTGTGGGGAGTCGCTATGGCCCCATCTGCCCTTCTCCAGCAGAGATCGCTGACCGGCCATCCGGTGGCCTCTCGCCCGACCTTCGTGAGCCGAGGCTGTGTTTATTGTCAGAAAGATGACTAAGAAATCCCCGACATATCGTATCATCAGCATTATGATCAGAGAAACAACACCTACAAAATCTATTATTCATTAAGTGTAACCAATATATAATTTAAAACAGTGGGTTTTGTCAAATAATGTTAGGTCAGCATAATTTTCTGCCTATTACTAATATCTATAACATCTTTGCCTTAGTCAGCTCTATTTAAATATGCAATCATTTACAGCTTTTGAGAATATTTCTGTGCACTCCCAATTTCCAATATTCAACTACGACAAATTTTATGCTGACATCAATAGCAAACTATTAAAGACAGTATTTCATTATTGGTTTTTCATCCCAAAAGTTATTTACAATTATATACTAAGCACTAATATTAAAGGAAACCATTTAAATGAGGTGCTATCTACTTTAACAATATGTCTGTCACAGAATGAGATTGTGTTTAAAGATTTTATCAAGAAATGGTTGTTTGCTGAGGTTATGTTTTGTCCATGAAATATGCATTTCATATCTCTTTCATTTCATTAACATAATTTAATTTGTGCTTTGCATTTTGTGCATAATACATATTTGATTTACAAAACAAATATTTCCATTAGAAAATGAATTTCATGCAGGCAAAAAAGCAGAACCAAATGATGTATTGAAGGAAAATAAGAAGAAATGAAATGCATTTTCTCAGTCTATTAAAAAATCTATGGCATTGACAGAAAGTGCACTTAGTGCTACATTTAAAAAATAGCACATATGTCAATGTATTAACAAATAGAATTGGAAATACAAATATTTCCCTATATCAAGCCAAGAATCTCTTTATTTTAATTGAGTTGATTTAAAAGCCCAACTACAATTTAATTTTTATTTCATGATGTGATGCTGGGGCTGGTACGGTCGGAGCTGTGTGGGGTTGGCGGTTGATGGAAGAAGATAGTTGACCTTAAAAATGGCTTTTATTGACAATGGAGAGACATGGTTGAATAGGAAGCGAAGGGGAAGCAGGCCTTTTTGTGATCTGGGAGCAGGGTGGGGAGAGTGAGGCTGGCGGGCTTTCGAGCTGCTCCTGGCTCAATTGCTCCCCTGTTGCCCTGTTCTGGCTTCTCTCTCCTCTGCAACCGACATACCTTGCCCCCACCCAGACTGTGGGGCTGGTTGGGGTCCCAGGAAATGAGGAACATGAGTGTTTGAGTCTTGGCTGGCCCACACATGAGACAGAGGCTCTGGAGTTAGGGGATCTTGGAGTGGAGCTCCTGCCTGGCAGCCCAGTAAGCCACTGAGGCCCTTCTCACCCAGAAGTGTAGCCAGGGGCATGCACGCCCCCATCAGTGCCCTTACAACATTATTAGAGGTGATGTACTCAGTCAGCAGTGTGAATTCAATGACGAAAAGCCTCAGGAAGAGGTCAGGACTCCCAACTCAGGTATCCCCAGCTCCCATTCAGCTCAGTGGAAACTAAGGGGTGCTGATCGTTCAGGAGAGCTGTAGGGAGGGGGACCTTCAGGACAGACCGCTGGAGTCCAGTCCCTTAACTGAAGCTCAGAGGTGGCAACACTGCACAGTGAGTCTGTATCCAAGCTGTCTACACTGGCCACTGGCCTCTGTTCCTATTCCCTGATCTGAAATCTCTTTTCTGTATCCCACAAATCCATACCCCACTCATATCCACTGTGGCTGCCACACCTGCAGAATGAGGAAGCAGCCACTGTCCTGACAGCTGCTGGGATGATGAAACAGGGTGGGAGAGACCTCAAGTACAAGACTGAGGTCTCTTTAGAAGGGAACCAAGGGCTAGTCTTGGTATGTGATCGTAGCTTTGTTGAGGAGGGCTGCCTGGGCCTCACCTGACCTCCCCTTATGTATGCAGTGGGTGGTGGTGATAATGGGGCTCCAAGTGGGGCTGTAGCATACAGTTGCATGGGTTGTCTACTCAACCACAATAGCGATGCCATTTCTGTAGAAAAGGATAGGGGAGCCTCCAGGTGTTACACAATATCGCAGCCCTGGGGCTGAGCCACACCACACCATCAGTGGCATGGGTACACACATTCATTTATATTCTGACGTACTCACACATGCTCCCACTCGCGCTACTTATGCACACTCACAATACACATGCTCACAATCATAGTCACACTCACCCATATGCAGACATATACATACAGCACTCACACTCTCTTACACCGTCTGGAGACCCTGAAGTCCAGCCTGCTCACCTGAGCCCGCCTTGGCCTGTGCTCTCCGTGCTCCCTGTCCCCTCCCACCAGAATGTGGGCTCCTCTGAGCCTGGGCCAGGCCTCCTTGGACAGCCTCCGCTGTGCCAGACAGAGGCCCACGCACAGCTGGACACAAGAAGGATGGTACCTTGCATGTGGGAAATGCCCACAGGCCTCTGGGGCTGGAAGGGATGGAAAGGGGGCTTCCTCCAGCATCTGAATGGGATCTATGGCACCAGACTCGGGGCATGTATGTGCCTGCAAGCCCTGACTGGCCTGGCCTGGTCCCTGCTCCTAACCTTGTTCCAAGACTGCAAACCCCCTCCCTCAGCCCCTCTGCTGCCTGGGGCCAGAGGGCAATGTCATTAGAAAAATCCTTTTTTGTTTCAATCCCAATGGTCACAAAAAACAGTCATACTAGCAGGTAGGAACCCAGCCGAGGAACGGTCATACTGGCAGGGAAGAAGCCAGTCGAGGAGCCAGAAGGTTGAAGGTCTGCCTAGGACAGGGAGGGGAGGTGAGGAGGGGTGGGGTCAGACGCCAGTGTAGGGGGTCAGGGTGGCGGGAGCTCCTGGTGTCAGTCTTGGCTGACTCCATCCAGGCGCTCCAGGCCAACCTGATGGCCTATGCCTCTGAGTCCCCCCAGTCTGAGGCCCTGGCCATGCTGCCTGGAGGAGTTAGGGACTTGAAGCCCACACATGAGGAAGCCGGGGTCACTGCACCAGGAGGGGCACCTGCAGTGTGTGGAGAGAGGGGGCCTGGGGTTCTCTGGCCCCCAACATTCAGCCTCGACGTGGCCTTCCTTCCAGTGCCTGGTGGGAATGGTGGAGTCCACTGCTTGAGGGGAGAGAGAAGGAAGGATGAAGCCTTCAGGACTGGTGGAGGGCTCTCCACAGGGCTGGGTGGGTGGCCATCACCCCTGGGGCGGGCCGGGGGTCCTGGCTCCCTGTGGGCGCCGCGCCAGCATGCACGTGGCTCGTGAGGAGAGGGAAATGTGCTGACACAGGAAGTCAGACTTGCTTTCTGACTGGGCAATCGGGGAAAAAAAAAAATCCATGTCTGCGGGAGGACAATCTCATCATATTAGAAGTATGGATTTCTGGCTCGAGCTGAGCCAGAGGCCCCTCTCCCCAGGAGGGAAGGGCAGCATGTGAGGGCCCCGGGCGGCATTCAGCATCTTATCTTCCCATGGCCCCTGAGACCGTGAGGTGCAGGGTCTGGACTGAATCCTCACCTCAGTGGCCGGGCCCAGTGAGCCCATCTCAGAGAGGGTTCAAAGGAGCGTGTAGGCCCCAGGGTCCTGGGGCTGTGCTTCCCGCCGGCTCTTGGAAGCCAGCCGAGTGTCCATCCCTTGAGGACCTGAGTCCACGCTGTGGAGCCCTGAGCTGATGCTTCACTTCTCTCCCAGGACGCTACTTCTCAGCCCCATCTGGACCTGGTTCACTCCACACTAGGCTCTGAGAAGATGCCGGTGTGGGACCCTGCCCCTGCCAGTGCTGAAGAGAATTTATCCTTGAGGTATTTTAACACACAGTCCTATTTAAATCCAACTTCCTTTTTATACATTCAATTTGTGTGTAGCTCACATACGTGCATAATTTAAAACATGAGATGGCTCATAGTGAGAAACACTTTTACTTATAGTGAAAACGAGCGATTCTCTGGCCTGCCCCTCCACACCCTCATTCTGGCTCCCCTGTGGCAGCCACTTTCCACTCTTTCAGATGTTCTAATTGTAAGTGTTTTTGTTTGTTGCTGTTTCTACTTTTTTTTTTAAGTCGAAATAATTTTAATAATAATAATAATTTATTTAAAAATTTAAAAATTTTAATAATTTATGTCCAAATTTCCCGCCAGAACTGCAAAGTCCTATGGCAACTGTCAACATACTAGGCTGTTTAACGTTTCCGTTTTTCCCCCTTGAAGACTCCCTTTGCCTGTAGCATCTGGCTCTGCGGGTTGCCCTCCAGAATGGGGCTCAGCTGCTCTGCTGGGGTCTCCCTTCCACAGCGGCCTGGGAATCGACTGTGCCTCTCCTGTTTCTTGTATGCTGTCTTCCTTTCTCTTGGGTTAATCCTTCATGTTGGTGGCACACACCCTCCAGTAACTTTCTGAGAAAGGGTCCCTGGAAAATAGTTTTTTTTGAGACTTAGCTGCTTGAAATGTTATCTGTCCATTCTCCCTCTTGATTGGCCATTTGGCTGAATCTAGAATTCTAGGTGAAAGGCATCTTCCCTCCCAGTGTTGAAAGCATTGCCCCATGGTCGTCTTAGAAGCAGCATGGCTCTTGAGAAGTCTGAGGCCTTCCCTAGTCCCAGCCTTTCAGCTGTGGCCTGTTCTGTTCTCTGAAAGCTTTCAGATCCTCTCTTTATCTATCCGCACATGGATGGCCTTTGCCTGCATGGAAATGCGTGTCCTTCATTTCCAGATATTTCTCCAATCGCTTCCACCTCTTTCAAAGTGTTCTACCATGGGTTTTCTTCATCACACCTTTCTGAACTCTTGTCAGGCTTCCATTCCATTTCATCCTCTGATCTTATCTCTCCTATTTTCATCTTTTCCCTTTCTGTTCCAGTTCTGAGGGATTTCCTATCTTCGAGCCAC